AAAAAAAAAAAAAAAACATGTTTATACAATAGTGGGGCCCCTTTTCATAATCTCGCCTAAGGCCCTGCCTCCACCTATTAAAATCAAAATATAATAAATAAAAAGCATAATTTCACTGTGATTACATGAGTTGGACAGAGGCTCTGACAGAGAATTATGGGATTGCTTTATGATAATACAAAAACATGAGCAAGATCCCGAGGGCCTCGTGGAGCCTTCACTTCAAATGTAAACTTGGAGGTTGTGTGATTTCTTTTTCTTTTCCTTTCCAAAACTAGTAGAATATAGATTTTCTTACCTCACTGATCATTAACACACCTGACAGATTTTTTATATATATTTTAAATAAAAGAGGAAATTCTACAAAACCAATCCCAAAAACAACAGGCTCATTTGGACTCCACACATGAGAGACTTTGACTTGTGGTTTGGACTGAAAGCCAACAGGAAAGATTTCATTTTCCCCCATCTCTTTTTGCACCGGACAAAAGCTTTACAAAACTACAAATGCATTGCAAGTTTGGGATTTCCGTCTCTTTTTGAAATCTGTAATTTGCTGTAATTTGTGCTTTTATCTGCCTGCTAAAACATGCACAATGGCACTGGATATAATGGCCTCATTGATAGCATTTGAGATTAGGACTGGCCCATTACATTCATGAATGCTTTAATGATTTGGCAAGCGCCGCCAAGTCTTGACTTCTGTCAGGGGACGTTCAGATTTTAACCCCAATCAAGAATCGCACAGATACTCGTCGGCACATTGTGAAACTGAACACTTGCTTTGCTTTATTTACCAGAGAGCCTTCCTGTTAAATATATATAGGTGTATATATTGAACTGTAGGGGGCGCTGTAGTATTTCTAATCATCTACTTTAAGTCAAAATAACTGCAAATGCAGACTCACTGTCATGAGCAGGTTTAGTGCACATAGAAATAATTTTTAAAGGAAGGGGAAAAAAAAAAAAACCCCCCCACACCATTCTGTGTGTCTGTTAAGTCTTTATGTTTTTCGTTTTTCGGTTATTTTTTTAGATTTGAGGCTCTTTGGGTTTTCATAACTTGTTTTCATACTAGTTGAAAGAAAACAAGCAACATAGACTTTTAAGTGTTTATTTTATTGCACTTTATCTATTTGCGTATGTAGAATTCAATTACAATATTTAAAGGCCTTCTTTTGTCAACACGAGTTTTTTCTCAACTTCAGTAGTACTTAAATACACCAACATTTACATTTTTATTCCAGCATATATTCTGAAGGTTTTAACAGAGGGATTTGTTCATATTATTTGGTTTATTTTATTATTGCACTTTATCTATTCGCATCTGGAGATTTCAATTACAATATACATTTTTCAAAGGACAGTTTTTCAAAATTAGTTTTTTCTCAATTTCAGTAGTACTCACATAAACCAAACTTAACAGTTTTATTCCAGTCTATATTCTGAAGGTTTTTACAGAGGGATTTGTTCATATATCATCCGGCCGATTTCATAATTGCACTTTATCTATTCGCATCTGTAGAAACCAATACAATGTATATATTTAAAGGCATTTTTCTTCGTTAAAATGAGTTTTTTCTCAACTTCAGTTGCACTTACATACACCAAATTTAACAGTTTTATTCCAGTCTATATTCTGAAGGTTTTTACAGAGGGATTTGCTCGTATATAATTCACTTGATTTTATACAACAGTTTAGTCTTTAAAACATAGTGAAAATAATGTTGTTGTTTTTCTCGGACTGTTGATGGTATTTTCTGGTTTATGAAATGATAAAAAGATATATCAAAAATCCCCTCAGTAAAAACTTTTAACTCTAATATGTCAACAAAATTAAATGAGAATTTTGAATCTGGCTTTATCCAATGTTCAGATTTATTTTCTGGACATTTACGTATATTAGTCCATATGCCTCGTTTAAGTAGTAAACAGCTTTTCAGAAATATTTTAAACTTAAAAGTTTGCAATTCTTGATGTAATCATTAAATTAGAGAATTATGGTGATAACTTAATTTTTTTGTAAAAGTTTTTAAAATTATTGTCATTTTTGTTAATTTATTTTTACCCTATTTACCTGGGTATCTTGCTTTAAAAACACAAAGTCTCAACACGACGTGACTTATTCGGACCTCAAAAAGCAAAGTTTGAAACTTTATGCCCAGCTAACCCCGTGAATAATCGTCCCGGCATAGTCTACTTTTAATTTAATTAACATTTATGAGATCGTTTAATGTGTAATGTTCTTATTAATGGACATGGATAGTTAAATTCTGTCTCCCATATATTGCATAATGAATGGAGGAGATCAGTAGGTCATTTAGGAATGAAAGATGGTGGGACAGAATTATTCACCCGTGTGTGAGAGCTAGCAGAGACGAGTGATTAGAAACGTGGATGGACGCCCAGATAAATGTTGGTTAAGCCATTATTCAGGCTCAGATGAATGCTGAAAGGTGCCGGGAACGAAATTAACACATCGCACCTTCATAAATACAGTAATTGGCTGTGTAGTGTAATTATCGGGCCTGTGTGGAAACTGTGCCTGCAGAAATGCACAGCTTTGGAAAGTTCTACGCATTCAGTGTGTTTGTTTATTTAATATTTCAAGTAATAAAACCATTTAGCATCTGACTTGAGAGGGGTACGGTGACGTAACCGACTGCATTACTATTCAACCTGACCACAAACAAACAAGTATGAGTCAAACTCGTAATTTTGAGAACTATATTTATTTGATTCAGCTTCTTTATGCAATCGCAAGTTGGATTTGAAGTAATGATTAGATTTGTTTAATATATGACAGCAGCTACAACACCTTTTACCATGTTTAAATGCACTGAAAAAAGTTATTTTGAATTAACCGATTTTATATGTAATTACTTATTTTAAGTTATTTTAAGTGGTTGCACAAATTAGAATAATCTGCATTTAGATATTTAAGTTCACTTGTGTGTGTGTGTATGATTTACTCCTTTAAAATTATTTAAAGTTTATTAGAACATATATAATTTATAGTGCATTTAATGTTAGTACTGTAAGACTGAAAATCAACATTTTGTGTTATTAAACTTGGCCAAGTTTCAAACGACATTTATTCATGTTCAATATACATAGATACTTTTATATCATAATTATGTAATATGCATATATAATAATGAATACATTCACAATGAAAAAAAAAAAAATTGAATGCAAATATAACTTCATGAGATATGTTCCACAGTTTTTCATGCATTTTGTTTCATGGCAAACTTTGAATTTGAAAAAAAGCTTATTTTTCATGGAGTAGTACAGATAACAGAGTTCAGTTAAAATATATATTTTTAACAATTTACTAATACTAAATACTAATAATGACGTTTTCTGATAAAACAAACTTTCAGTTAAAAATACACAATCTTTTTCATTTTAAGAACTCACAGAAGAGAGGATTCTGCAAAACTAACAATGTTGAGTTATGTTTATTTATTTATTTCCTAGAATATAAAAAAGAAAATGGTAACACTTTACAATAAGGTTCATTAGTTAACATGAACTAAGAATGAACAATACTTCTACAGCATTTATTAATCTTATTAACCATTATTTTAATTTCAATATAATGTCCTTAGACATTTTCCAACACTTTCCACACAGAATGTTTTGTCAAAACAAACTTTTAATTTGAACAAAGCCAAAATTGATTTGAAAGCAAGTTCATTGAAAGAACTCACACAAATTTGTTGAGAAGAACAGAAAAGACAAGACCCAGTAGAACTAGAAATGGTGAAAGTTCATGTTTTAGAGAGTGCGTTCTGTGGAATTCCACTGATTTGTCCTTAGAAAATATGGAAAACAATCCATAGATTCTTTCTGGCCATGTTACTTGGCCATGCGGATGTGATTTTGTGTGCATGCATGCACTACGGAATACAGTTTATTTTCTAGCCTTCTCAATATCCAGTCATCTCTAACTACAACAACAGGTGAATTTACTGAACAGCCATTTCAACGAGAGGTATTTCAGAGCAAAGCACTTGTCTTACACACAAACCAGCCACAATTCAGCACTCTAATAAAGTCACCGTCATTATCTTCAGAGCAAACATGCCTCATTTCTATGCAAATGAGATTTGTTCACAAAAGTTGCCACTACCTCCAATAAAATGTTATTGTACTATTACATCCTGCATGCGGTAAACAGAGTTTTATTTACAAGAGCATTAGCTGTAATTCATAAAATGATAATCAAATGATGGAAAATAGAGTTTAATAGGCATATATCCATTCAAGCTCATTCAGGCATTTAAAAGAGTCGTGCTTGGATCAGTAGTTGTGTGATGCTACTCTCCTAGTAAAGTATGTCGGATTGTGGTAGTGTACCGTATAGTGTTTCTCCAATGTTTTTAGATGGCCGACCACTTCAAAAGTAAAACAAAAACTGCACACCACCTAACACCCAAATTTCATTACGGGATCTTATTTGACATAATTTTCACCAATCTTGAGTCACCAACGCATATTTTTACTAGGGTGCGGTTTTGTTATTTTTTATAAAGAAAACTGACAAGTATGCTTGCAGCATGAAAACTATTAAAAATAGTAGCATACTTCAATGTGCACTATCACATACTAAAATGTGGGCTAGAATTAAATAGCTAGTAAACATACCTACAAGTTGACTTGTAATGTAGTTCACAGTGTAGGTGCAAAAAAAAAAAAAATGAATAAAAAAAACGTAGATGTAAATTAGTTGTTTACTCAAAATATACACCAATGCTGTCAAACATAAACGTATTGAATTGAAGGTGGGCCAATTTAGTCCCAAGAAGTATTGAAATATTACACCTGGACATATAATAGTCTAACACATTGATTTTAGTATACTTACTATATAAAGTATACTTGAAAAATATACTTTCAACTTTACTTAAATTCATAAAATGAACTTGAATCATAATCATTTGGTAACACTTTACAATAATGAAGGACATTTGAATATATATCAAACACATGACTACTAGTTACATTACTGAAGTGAAACAACAGAAAAACTTGTTAAATCATAAAATCATTGTTATTTATTGAGTTAGTGTTTTTTGGCAATTTAGTTGAATATTAATTTTTTTTTTTTTTCATAAAATGTATTTTACCTTATGTAATGTATGCATGTATGTATTTATGAATTCATTGAGCCAAACAACTTGCGGTCCACTTGTTGTCACTAGTCTACTGTATCCTCTACAACAAAAACTACAAGATGGAGAATTGCACAGTGCAAATTGTGTTAAACGTCGTGTTCACACTGCTATCTGAGAGTTACATAATTCCTTTAGATATCTGAGTGCTAAAACAACACACAGCGTGTGCAGATAAACAATTCATAGTGAACTTCCCCCTAAAACGTCAGTTCCTCAAGAATAGACTGTCAGGTCTTTTACCTCCTCTCACAAACGGCCCCCAGGTGCCTGGGCTTTCCGCCCTCTTGCCTGGAGTCCTAGCCTCCTCACACCGCCGTGCCAAGATCCCGTCATCAATCCAGCCGACCCTCTCCACACGTAGCCTGCGGTTCCATGCCAGTAAAGGTCCTATTAACCTCTTGGCAAGCTTATATTGCTCTTAAATAATTAAGCCCCCCTCACCACGCAGAAAAACCTGCTCCATTATTAATGAGATAGGGGCTCCTTTTTAGGTGAAAGCACCCGATTAATTATTCAGAATGAAAATCATAGTAAAGACACCTGTTACGCCGCCTGTGCTCGACTACACTTATACATGGGCTGAGAGAAGCTTTCAGAAAGGTTGCCAAACACAGAGTTAAATGTTAATACCAACATTTTTTTTTTTCCTGAGAAGAAACTGGAAATCTCATGTTACAGAAAGCATTTCAATTATATCTCACCCAGTTCTCAGATTCGCCATATTATATGAGCTATGCCATTCATAAATACAAAGTTCTGTCATGAAACTCTAGATGGTGCAGGCTGATAGGTTCTAACTCAATCTGATATAATGACATCATCATTCACATTGCTCAGCTGATTGGTTCCTTTTCACATCAGCAGCCAATGAGCTCGCTGCTCAACATTCAAATAATTGGCCAGTGCTTGCTGTAGCAGTTGTAACGGGCTTCAGAAACCCTCCACCTCCCCAGCTCCACCTGTATAGATCTGATACAGGGTGATTATATGTATGTTTTATTTGTGAGTTATTTCATACATGTTTCATATATGTGCATCAGCAGTATTTCCTATATGCTCACAGCAGCATGTCTGTGGATATATTGGCAGCAGCAAGTCTCAGTACTTGCTCTTTCACAGCAGCAGCAGTGTACCAGATCTATTCCGCCAAGAACAAACGCATTACCATTAGGGCTGCACGATAAATCGCATGCGATATTTAATGCGCATCTTGTCAGAAAGCCGGTTCTGTAATCAGCGGTAAATCTCCATCACCTGCAGGCTTTCACATTGAGCAGCATTAACTACACAGAGCCGTTGTTCACTGATGAGCAGCGCAAAAAATAGCGCGAATATGAACGTGGTTTTGCGCAACTCTTCAGTGAACAGCGGCTCTGTGTAGTTAATGCTGCTCAATGTGAAAGACCGCAGGTGATGGAGATTTACCGCTGATTACAGAACTGGCTTTACTGATAAGATGCTTGTTAAATATCGCATGCGATTTATCGTGCAGCCCTAATTACCATTGTCATGTATATTGCCATGCTAAACTCTTTGAAAGCTGTCATGACAGAACTTAGAGTCTCCTGAACGATGAAAGATCAACTTCTGAGCAATTACATTTTCCTTTCAATTACATTTACATATTTTGGTTACACCTTAGCAACTGCATAGCAACTTCCTGGCAACCACCTACAACACCAAACTAAACTCATGAGAAAATGTAACTATTTTATTTTAAAATTCAGTCAAATGCATTCACTCTAGACAGAGCGCAAGATTGATGGAGTGCAAACTATTCAATATGATTGTTGATCAGCAAGTGTTCAGCAAGAACCGCCACACAATCTGATAACACCATTTTTTTTTTCTTAAGACACAAAGACGATCCTTTTTCCTTAGGAATTACAGACTCCAGAAACAAAATGTCTGAAATTGCTCACAGAACCTTTAACAAATTACCTTTTCCAAAAATAGCATTAGCAAAAGTGCTACATTGTTGTCTTCAGTCAAACTGTTTTCAGCTTCACAGCAAAGCATGCTGAGGTAATCAAGCACAATATTCTAGAAAGTTAGAAAATGTCTAAATTGCTCACAGAACCATTAACAAGCTACTCTTTCCCAACATGTATCAACATCAAAAGAGCTAAATTGTTTTATTTGTTCAAATTGTTTTTGCATAGATTTACAGCTAGGCTCACTGATGTAATAAGCACATTCTCCTAAAAAGTTAGAAAACTTCTGAAATTACACACAGCATCTATAACAAGTTACTTTTCCAAACAAGTAGTGCTAGCAAAAGCGCTACATGGTTGTCTTTTGTTAATCTGTCTTTAGTTAGCTTTGCAAAAAAAGTGTGAGGAGGAAACAATCAAACACAACCTCCAACCCTGTTGAAAAAACCAGCATATGCTGGTTAGGTATGTTTTGACGCAGCACATGACCAGCATAAACCAGCAAAGGACCAGCATAAACCAGCAAAGAACCAGCTTAAACCAGCATCCCAGCGTCAAAACATATACCTAACCAGCATATGCTGTTTTTTTCAACAGGGAAGGAAGTTGGAGAACACCTGAAACTGCTCACAGCACTTTTAACAAGCTACTTTTTTCTCAGGAACCTATAGCAAAAGTGCTACATTGTTGTCTTTGGTAAATGTTTCGTGTGCGTAGCTTTGTAGCTACACGCTAAGTAATAATCAAAGACATAATCCTAGAATGTAAAGAAACTGTTTTAAAAATGGTTTGCTATGTGTAATTTTACTGTTTTGTCAAGTGAAATATTAAAATAGTACCCCTTTATTACCTTCAATTTAGTTAGCAGTAGTTAGCATTACCTTGTAGTGTAGCTACCTACTTGTAGCTCAAAAGACTAGTCGCAAAGTAGCTTCTCCAACACTGCCAACTGTGGATAATGCTAGCATAGAGATATTATTCGCAAATTTACCCACCTTGTCAGGGCTAATTCCCTTCTCCTTTCTATCTGACCTATACTCTGAGGCTTGTTTTGTTTGTTCAACATTCTCCGAGGCTTCATACTTGTTCCCATTAATAATTAATGTTGTGGAACCTGCAATATTCATAAGTCTCAGAGCTCTGGGCACCTGAGGTTTATTTTGGGATCTGTATTTGGGCGATATAGAGGTGGTGAGGTTAACTAGTGTGTGTGTGAATGTAAGGAAGATGATGGACATATCGCATCATTATGATGCTGTACAGATCTACTGTCACACTCAGCTGACATTGTATAGGAGATTCATGAATGATGTATGCCGTGTGGAGTAAATTGGTTTAGTGGGGACCAAATGTATCAGTTCTGATCGCCTCAGAGGGAGGAAACGAAATGTTATTTTATTGTACTAAACCGAGATCAGATTCACTTTTTTATTTAATATGAAATGTTGTCACAAAGAAAAACAGAAAAATGATTCCAGTTAATTTCTCTGAATGAAGATCATCTAAATGTCAGTACGTCCATGGACAACTCTTCCGATTCATCCATTCTGCAATGCATTTTTAGCCAGCTGATCCCAGATATGAAGGTTAACAAAAAAGCAACAAGCTGTGCAAGTTTTCTCAAACAATCACTGCTCCTAGATTCAATCTTTGAATCAAAGTAACATGACTTCAGCATTATGTTCCTGCATTAATACACCTACAATTTACATATGAAATGTACTGCTCTTGAACCATGTGGGATGCAGACAGACGTTTGCATGATCTCATTGCTATGATGGAGAGTTGTTCAGTTGTGAAGTAGACTTACAATATTTTCATGATGGATTCCAGAAACTAGCAGCTAAGCCACAAATATAAAAAAGCTTCACCTGAATTCTTTCTGGCAGGGTTATCTTGAGATCAACTGCTTGTACACTCAAACAACACACATCTGAAGCAAAGTCAGTATTTATAATGGTTTATTACTAGTTACTTGAAAAAAGTAATCTGATTACGTAACTTGCGTTACTTGTAATATATTACCCCCAACACTGCTTATTCACTAATAATTTACAATTCTAACCTTGTCTTAAAACTAGACTTTCAAGATTCAAGCATGAAAATCCATAATAAAAAATGTTGTTACATGTTAAAATGATATAATGGCGGAAAAATAGTAAAAAACAAGTCAAACACTTTTGGCCCTAATTAAGTTGAATGAATGAATAAATAAATAAATAAATAAATATTTTACAATTTGGTATAATTAATATTTCATTATTTCAATATGCATATAGTTTTATGAAAAACCAAATACACAATCTAAGATATATTGGAAGAAGTTGGATTGGAGATTAAGGTTTACACATGTACACACAACCATCACCTAACTGTATTTATTTCATTGAACTTTGCATAGGTTCTGGCATGCATGTGGTACATATAGTATAAAAATAAATGTAAAATCGTTTGTGTACATTTTAGGTTGAAATCTACTCAATGCTTTATACACGAGGCCCCGGGGCTTAATTCAACATGCATGAAACCACATGTGAAGATTTAAAAACAGATCTAACCATTATGGTGAAACCCACAGAGAGCCATGTGTCCATCTTTCAATTTACGTCAATCACTGTCAGCTTTGTTTAACAGTGTTAGCAAGTACCAGTGGATCCGTTAGGCCAGAAGTGACAGAAAAGTCACAGAGCAAGCTTCTTTTGATTAGATTTATCTGGAAAAACATTGTTATTATTCCTCCGACAAATTTATTTATTTCTTTATTTTTTTTGTGTATCTAACAAAATGTATTGAGGTTTAATATATTTTCCAACTGAAATATTGAAATATTGCCATGTTAACCCTTGTGAAAGAGAAAAATGAAATATGGCTACTATAAAATATGGTCAAAGTACAGTTGGATGTACTGACAAGCATTTATGGTAAACTAAAATACACTCAAATGTCATTTCTTTTGAAACTTGTATGTGACGTATTACAAAAGATATTTAAAATGACAGATTTGTAACAATGAAGTGGCAGTTTAGAACATTTAACTGATATTAACTTTAAATGTAATACCAAATAACACACTACAATTACATTTATTAACCAATGTCTTTACTGCTGACCTTCGATGATCTAATTCAACCATACTTATAGGCAAAAATCACTTTAGATAAACATATCATTTGTGTTTCTATTTTCTTTTATTATTATTATTATTGCTGAAGAGTTGAGTGTTGAACTTTCTTCTAATGCATCCTATTCTTCATGCAATCCAGAATGGCTGAGGCTTATTCATTTCACTTTTGGTGATATATATA